TGAGTTGCAGGGTGATCGGTCAAAGCGATGTTCAAATGAAAGGTTGAGTCTCCGTGTTTTCAAACCTCTTTCTCCTATTTGGTGTTCTGTTTGCTTGAGGGCAAGCAAATGCTAAGTCTGGGGGAGTTGATATATCATGGTTTTTATGGTTTTTAACCATGGTATATGTCTTATTTATAGAGTCTTTCTACTGTTTCTCGAGTCTTTTGGAGTCTTTACAGGTCATAGGTACGTTTGGAGCTTAACTGGAGTTTTTGGAGCACTTTGGAGCTTAATCAGGATCAAATTCGTCAAGGATGAATCATGTGCTTTAGTGTCGCTCGACACCATGGAGAGTGACGCTCGACACTTGCTGCAGAAATAAGGAAAACGTGATTTTGTTTCCTGTTTGAAGAAGGAGTTGGGCCCAAAAGTCTCCAATAATTACAAGAAAGCCCAAAACGTGTTTTTAAGTTATAAATAGGGTTTTTAGCCACCTTATATCAATACCTTAGATTTTCTGAGAGAGAACTTTTGTTTTTGAAAGCTTTTGGGGAGACAAGTCTGAAAAACTGTTCCAGAGAGAGAAGATTTCGAACCCCTGTTTATTAATCTATTTACTGCTTACTGCAATCTATTCATTCATGTTTATTGCTTCAATCTTCATGTCTGAGTAGTTTGTTTGTTAGGTTTAGGGTTCTCATAAAGGATTTTCTCTGGATGTTTGATTAATTGATTAGGTTAGAGTTCATAATCTATTTAGTTCTTCACCATAGGTTGTTCTTAAAGCTAATTCTGGACTGGCCACCTAGAACTTAGATCTCAGGTTAGTTGATTGACACGGAAGTGTAATTGAATAACTGGAAAGAACCTAGGGTGAGCAAAGTAGCTATTCGCAAAGGAATTTGGTTTAGCTGCTTTGTGAACATATCAAACTTGTGCTTAAAGCTGGTTTATGTCTTTAGGATTTGCAAAGGAATTTGGAATTCTGAGATTTAGACTTAGATAATTCTCGCAACGGAAGTTGGTTAGTTATAATTTCGTGATTTGAGTTCAAGAACCGTGCTTAAACCTGAGCCCTGATTAATCGATTGTTCTGCATTCATTGATATCCTGAGAAACGCCCTAGACCTAATCTCCACCCATCTGAACTTTACAAACGTTTTTACTGCATTCGTTTATCTTTATTTGCATTGCTATTTGCTTCTCATTAATCTGCTTAGCGTAATTCAATTCCTAATAGGTTTGAGCGAATCTCTCGTCTCTGTGGTTCGACCCCTACATACTACAATTGCACATCTGTGCTCTTGCAGAGTAGCTCCAAGAGCCAACAGCAGACCGGATATCACCAAGAGGACGATGGATTTTCACAATCCATCCCACCCTCTTCCTTAATGATAATCAGCTGGAACTGCCAGGGCCTGGAGAATCCCTGGACAGTTAAACGACTGCGGAGACTAAACGAAATATGGTTTCCCAGACATAATTTTCCTCACGGAGACAAAAAATAGTGATCTTTTTGTTCTCACTGAACTTAAAAGTTTAGAGTATGAATGTAGTACTACCGTTCCACCTCAATCTCTTGGATCTGGAGGTTTTGCTCTTCTATGGAAAGAAGAGATTGAGCTGGAGATCCTGTTACATTGTGAAAACTTCATCGACACTGCAATAAAGTTTAAAGGAAAAGCTTTTTATGCCACCTTTGTATATGGCCACCCAGAAAAAACAAAGAGACAAGCGGTATGGGAGCATATCATGTCTCATACCTCAGATCGTGATGCTCCCTGGTTTACAGTAGGAGATTTCAACGAGATCGTTGACAACTCTGAGAAGGCTGGTGGACCTGCTAGAGCAGAGGAATCATTTGTAAACTTTAGGTCTTTCATGTTGATATATGACCTTTATGATCTTTAGCATCATGGGACTTTTATATCATGGAGAGGAACAAGAAACAAACATTTTGTCAGATGCCGTCTGGACAGGTCAATGGCCAATAGTGCTTGGTTTGAGGCCTATCCCTCTGGAAAAAATGAATACCTAAGGTTTGAAGCTTCCGATCATAGACCCATGGTCATAAGCTTTGCGCCTGGAAAAAAGAAACGGGGCCTCTTCCGATATGATAGAAGCTTGAGAGACAATGCTGAGGTAAAAACTCTGATATCACAAACGTGGAAGGATCAAGGAAATGCACCGGTGGAACAAAGAATCTCCTGCTGCAGGAAAGCAATTATAAAATGGAAAAAAGATCATCACATAAATAGCCACAAGAAAATAGAAGAGAAACAGAAAGATTTGGAGGAGGCAATGACAAGTTCCACGAATAATGATGCGCTTATTACCCAAATCAACAATGAGTTGAAAAAAGCCTACCGAGCTGAAGAGGAATACTGGAAACAGCATAGTAGACAAATGTGGCTGGGACTAGGAGACAAAAATAATAGCTACTTCCACACTGCAACAAGAGGGAGACGAGCAAGAAACCACATCTCTGTCATTGAAAATAAGACAGGACAAAGCGTCTACGAAGAAAACCATATCACCTCTGCAATAACCGAGTATTTCCAGGAGTTGTTTACAATAAAACCTGAGAACCGAGCAAGCATTGTAGCGAATGCAATCTCACGGCGAATATCCTCTGAGGTAAACGACACTCTGATAGCAACTTCAACAGCTGAGGAAATCCGGTTTGCAATATTCGCTATTCATCCCGATAAGGCACCTGGTCCGGATGGCTTCGCTGCAAGTTTTTTTCACACAAACTGGGAATCAATCGGGCCAGAAATTGTAAAAGAGATTCAACTCTTCTTCTCTTCAGGAAAGCTCCCAGACCACATCAAAAAAACTCATATCTGCCTTATACCAAAGATCAAGGCCCCTAAAAAGGTCTCAGATTATAGACCCATAGCCTTATGCAACGTATACTACAAGATAATATCTAAAGTGCTCACAGCAAGGCTACAACCATTCCTAAACGATATTACTGAAGAAAACCAGTCAGCTTTTGTACCTGGGAGAGCAATATCAGACAATGATCTCATCACACATGAAGTGCTTCATTTCCTAAAACAATCAGAAGCAGATGTAAGAGGATCAATGGCTGTTAAAACCGACATGAGCAAAGCCTATGACCGGATAGAATAGGACTTTATCCAACTGGTTCTAGAGCATATGGGTTTTCACAAAAAATGGGTACAATGGATAATGGAATGTGTGTCTACAGTGTCATTCTCAGTGCTTGTCAATGGAACAGCAAGAGGAAGAATAATACCTCAAAGGGGAATCAGACAGGGTGACCCGCTCTCACTCTATCTATTCATTTTGTGCAACGAAGTTCTCTCAGGACTCTGCAAAAAAGCACAACAAGATGGAAAGCTGAATGGAATAAGCATTGCACGAAGAGCTCCAAAGATAAATCATCTCTTATTTGCGGATGATACCATGTTTTTTTGTAAGACGAACGAGAAAAACTGTACAACTCTGATGGGAATCCTCTCGTACTATGAGAAAGCGTCTGGGCAAATGATAAATAAAGGCAAATCTGCAATCACTTTCTCGAGGAAAACATCACAAGCAACTAGAATCAGAGTTAAAAGAGAGCTGGAGATTGAAACTGAGGGAGGAACTGGAAAGTACCTGGGGCTACCAGAGCTCGTTGGACGAAAGAAATCAGACCTCTTTAGTTCAATGGTTGATCAGATGAGACAAAAAGCTGTTTCTTGGTCTACCAAACAGTTATCTGCTGCGGGTAAAATGGTGATGCTCAAATCAGTGCTATCCTTGATGCCCACCTACACCATGTCATGTTTCAAGTTACCCATTGCCCTGTGTAAACGGATACAAACTATACTCACTCGTTTCTGGTGGGACTCAGACCCTGAAGCCAAAAAGATTTGCTGGGTTTCATGGGAAAGACTCACTAGGGGCAAAAAGGAGGGAGGACTTGGTTTCCGAGAAATACAGACTTTCAATGAAGCTCTCCTAGCTAAGCAAAGTTGGAGGATTCTCACTAGACCAGATAGCCTATTAAGCCGTATTCTCAAAGGCAAGTATTTTCAAGACTCATCTTTCCTGGAATGCACATTAACGGAAACAGCATCTCATGGCTGGAAAGGTATGTTAGTGGGAAGGGATTTGCTAAAAAAGAACCTGGGGATAGCCATTGGCAATGGCAGGAATACGAGTCTTTGGAAAGAAAAATGGATATGCACATCAAACCAAACCAGACCCATAGGACCTGCATTGGAAAAAGTCTATGAAATGAAAGTCGCTGATCTCTTACTGCAGAACACAAACCAATGGGATGGAGAAAAGATCATGCAACTGTTAACTGAATATGAAAGAGAAATACAAAGCATCAAAGTAAGTATCTGCGACGCCCCAGACCGCCACGTGTGGCTATCTACTCCTTCAGGGGACTACACAACTCGCTGTGGATACCACTCTGCTCTGCCTGAATGCCATGATGTTCCCTGGAACCATTTCCAAAACTCAGAATTTAGTTGGCAGAATGAGATATGGCGAGGCCATTTCTCAGAGAAAATAAAACTCCTCTTGTGGAAATCCATTCAGAAGGCATTACCAACAGGAGAGAACCTGTGTCGCAGGAAAATTATGGAGAGCAGTTCCTGTGTAAGGTGTGGGGAACCGGAAACAGACATCCACATTTTCTATCACTGCCCATTTGCCAAAAAGGTATGGGAACTAGCCCCTTTCAAAGAAGCCATCAATCTATTCTCAGTAAGAGACCTGGCATCTGGCATGATTGCTCTTAAAGGACTGACATGTCTCCCACCGATTGGAATCTGCAACGGTCCCCTTTACCCTTGGTTTTTCTGGAACATGTGGACAGCGAGAAACAGTAAAATTTTCAATGCAAGAATCTTCTCAGAGCAAGAGACTATAATCAATGCTATCAAGGGAGCCAGGGAATGGCAAGAAGCACAATCCCCAAAAAAATGCTATCCAAACCTTCGAGACTCACCTGGAAGTTGACTTTCCCGGAAAATGTGTTCCGATGTTTTATGGATGGAGCTTGGCACGAAGATACATTATCAGCGGGATTGGGATTTGCTTTTAAGAATCCACAGAATGAACTTATGACCCGGGGATTGCTCTCAGAAAACTTCGTCACTTCGGCTTTGGCCGCAGAAGGTATGGCGATTCGCTTTGCTCTCTTGGAGGCGATTGAAATGGGAATTAAACGGGTTGGGGTGACTTCGGATTCTAAGCAGCTGATACAGGCAATTTCGAAACGTCTTTCGATCACTGAGATCTATGGAATTCTCCAAGACATATCTCACGTGTCCTCTCAATTTGAATTTGTACGTTCATGTTCATATCGAGAGAGGCTAATGTGTTAGCCGATAAGCTTGCAAAAACTGGCCTCCGTACCGGTTTTGTGGTACAGGAGGAAAACCATCTGGTTTAATGAATGAATTCAATTTTCGACAAAAAAAAAAAGAACTATTATTTTTAATTTTGTCTCATATTTTTTTTTTTTTGCATTGAGATTAAATTATCTTTATTAGTTCAAAAATAAAGATTAAATCACATTTAAATCTGAATTATTTTTTATTCATATGTTTATGATGTTTTAATCTAAATTTAAAATTTGATTTAACTTATGCTTATGATTTTTTTTAAATTAGATTAAATTTGATTTAAATTATGCTTATGATTTAATGTTTGTAACACAGTTGAATTTAAATTAAATAGTTTATATAGGAACTAATAGTTGGGACAGATTTTAAGTTATGTTTTTAATCTTTTAGTTCAATTTTTGATTTTTTGTGATTTATTTTTATATATTTTTTTCTTTGATGATCCTAGCTGGTAATCTTTTCAATCCATTGTTTTTTACTTTCTTCCACTGAAATCTCCTTTTAGTGATCATTTTTACTTTTTGCAATTTACTATTTTCATTTTTTGTTCTCACATCTTTTCAATTGGTTCTATCTAGCGCTGGAACAGAGCCGGATATCCGGACTTTTCAAGGTATCCGGATCCGGCTCCGGATTTAACGGATAATCAATTTTACTATCCGGATCCGGATCCAAAAACTCCGGATATCCGGAGACCGAATATCCGGTTTGAACCGAATATTTACAGATATCCGACCGGATATCCGGTTTCGTTGATTTAAAAAAAAATCTTCAATTTTTAAAATTATAATAAGATAACATATATAATTAAAATGTATCATCATAGCAAAAATTACAAATACCAAAAATTTAAAAGCATTCAAGTAGCATTCAAATAACACAAAGTTTAAAAGTTTACATAACAAAAGAGAAAACAGTAATAGATAAGTTAATTTATCTTCATATTCTTGTATTATCTATTTTCATGTTTTCTCTCACAATCTGAAATAGAAAATTATCATGCAATATAAATTTCAATCATGTGTAAAAGAGTTAAACCAAAAACAATTTTCGAACATAATTAAAACAAAAAATTAAATGCATATCCAAAGATTTCAAAATTTTCAAAATCTTAATAACGGATAAAGGATATCCGATTTCTAAATTTTCTATTATCCGGATCCGTATCCGAAATAACCGAATACTTAATTTCACTATCCGGATCCGGATCTGAACTACACGGATATCCGGTTTTTACGGATCGGATAGGACCGGATACCAGATCGGATAGCGGATACCGGATAATAATTCCAGCCCTAGTTCTATCTATGTTCTCCATGCCTCTATAAATTTTATACTTATTTGTTACCATATTTGTTTTTGTCATTTTTTCTCTTTATCTTTTTGATTATTTAATGAATGTTCTTTTGTGTGTTTTTAATTTTCTAACTCTTATATTTGGTTTTAAAAAAAAAACTTGTTCTTCAGTTTTTGGAAAATTTTATTTTTATTATTTGTTTTTATTTTTTAATTGCTTTGCGAATAAATAATCTTTATTATTTCAAAAATAATCTCATCCATCCATTGTTTTTTTGAGTTTTTTTCATCTAAATCATGATTTAGTGTTAATTTATCAACTTTCTCAAATTACGAATTTTAGATTTTTTTCACACAGACACACACACATATATATATATATATATATATATTTATATTTATATATATTTATCACTAATTCTATCTTTTTAATTATATTTTTAATATTTTGTATATTTATTTGTCGTTGTATTATTTTTCTTTTCTTTTTATAATTTTCTATATTTTTTTAATTTGGTTATATTTTCAATTGTTTATTGAACATTATTTTTGGTACTGTAGTTTTCTTCTTATTTTTTTTATTTTTAAGATATTTAAAACTTGTTTAAACTATTATTTTTAATTTTGTCTCATATTTTTTTTCTTTTGCATTGAGATTAAATTATCTTTATTAGTTCGAAAATAAAGATTAAATCACACTTAAAATCTGAATTATTTTTTATTCATATGTTTATGATGTTTAATTCTAAATTTAAAATTGATTTAATTTATGATTATGATTTTTTAAATTAGATTTAAATTTAATTTAAATTATGATTATGATTTAGTGTTTGTAACATAGTTAAATTTAAATTAAATAGTTTATATAGGAACTAATAGTTGGAACATATTTTAAATTATGTTTTTAATCTTTTAGTTCAACTTTTGATTTCTTTTGTGATTTATTTTATATATTTTTTTCTTTGATGATTCTAGCTAGTAATCTTTTCAATCCATTGTTTTTTACTTTTTTCATTGAAATCTCTATCTAGTGATCATTTTTATTTTTTGCAATTTACTATTTTCATGTTTTGTTTTCACAATTTTTCAATTGGTTCTATCTATGTTCTCCATGCCTCTATAAATTTTATATTTATTTGTTACCATATTTTTTTGTCATTTTTTTACTTTATCTTTTTGATTATTTAATGAATGTTTTTTGTGTGTTATGATTTTCTAACTCTTATATTTTTTTTAAACTTGTTCTTCAGTTTTTGGAAATTTTTATTTTTATTACTTGTTTTTATTTTTTTAATTTCTTTACGAATAAATTATCTTTGTTATTTCAAAAATGATGAGTATAACGCACAGTAAAAAGGACCAAATTAAAATCTTATATTAGTTTTTTTATTTATACATAAAGTATATTTAAATTCAATTTGAGTTCAATTTTTATTATTTTATGATTTAATATTTTTAACACAGTAAAAATCAGATTAAATGGTTGATTTATTTATATTCAAAAAATAATTTGCATATGTATTAATAAGAGGAATAATTGTTAATTTCTTATTGGTTCTCAAATGCTGAGTTGTCAATCTTTGGAGAGTGCCCTTCATCTTTTATGTATTAGATTTATAATATCACCACTATTTCTTTATTGGACCGACCCTACTGATCTATAATTGATTTTATAACTAACGTTTGATTGTTACCGTTCCACAAAATATAGCACCTAAAATTTTAGATTTGATAGAACTGAACAAGAATATTCTGTTGATTATATCACTAGGTCAGTGAAACAAAATATTGATGATATATTAAGGGTATGACTTGGAAATTCCACTAAGGCAGTGAAAAAGTTGGTATAGCATGAAATTTGAATAATCTAAAGCCATGTCAGAATCAGAGGGTGACAAGTATATAGTTTACTTTGGAGAAAGCATCATAACTGATAACTCATCATCATTATGTAACATTAATTAATATTGGGTTATAAAGCTAATTAAACTATAGGTCTAAAAAGTAGTCATCGAACTACATTATCATGCAACTTCTAATCTTAGGTGGCCATTATGGAAACAATTCATTACTTTGTCATTTTATATGAACCTTTTGCTTATTGACTTATTGTTAGTATAATAATGTGTAGGGGATTTAACATAAAAGTAAGGACCAAAGTAACGCAAACATTTTGCTCTAAACAAAAAGAAAATCTTTTAGGTATACTGTATATATTTTGTAACTGAATTTGAATGATTATATTACTTCTCTTGTACATATACTATTAACAAAGAAAATATCTGTTTGGAAACTATTTTAATGTTAATCCAGTTTGTTTTAATAAATATAAATATTTGAAATAAATATAATTCTGAATTTAGGATGATATATAATTTTTGATATAAAATATTTAGAAAATTTTCATAGTAGGTTATTCTTTTTGTGAACAGCTACTCCACTTGCCAAACAAATTCAATTTAATAGAATATTTTAAAAATATTGTATTTTAATGTATATTTAAAAATAATTTCAAAAATGAATAAAATATTGTATTTTAATTTGTATATAAAAATAATTTCGAAAATTTAAATTTAGTTTGGAGTTTCTTAAATCAAAATCAGTTGTTATTATATCTTGCAATAATAATAAATCAGATATTAATTTAAATTTAATTTAGATATTCAAAATTAGACAATATTTTTATATGACCGAAATGTTAAAAATATTTAATAAATCTAAAATTCATAAAAATTCATATGTTGGTTAACTGTAGTTTTGATAAAAATTGTTATATGTATATAATTCTCTAATTTCTAGTGCGACATCCCACAACATTATCAATATAGGCATAACATAATATATCAAAGACGAAGGATGTATAGTTTACATGTTTGTCTATGCATTTTGCCGTTACAAATTTGTATACGTTTTGTGGAATGTGGTTTTGGGTGTAGTCAAGGAAATGGAAAACGTTCAGTATATATATACATATATTTAGAAATTTACAATGTAAAACAGATGTAATATGTTTTAAAATACATAAACTCGTGTGATCTTTTTTTCTAATTAGATTTCAAATTATTTAAAATAGCAGTTATTTACTTAGTGAAAAAAAACTTAAAACTATCATTATACCGAAAGCAATTTTATATACATACACTGACCATCAGCCAAGAAAACAAAGTCATCAGTGGTTTACCGTGATCGACTGGACATAACCATCAACGGAGTAGCTCTTATAACTTGTGCGTACCTCCAGCTCACGGGCGGAGGCACTTGAACGGTAGGAGGGTTAACTGACCCTATGAATTTTTTTTATTTAATATAAGTTTTTGAAATTTTGTTTTATTGACCCCACGGAAATATTTTTATTCACCCCTATAAATTTAAACCAAACCCAAATGTATGTTACATAATGGATCGATGTTTACAAATACAATAAAGCATTATAAATCACAAAGCTGCATTTGAAAAGGAAGAGAATGTGTCATTCCAATTAGGACTGATGTTGTAGCCAAGAATCCTATCACATATATCGCTGAATTTTTATGAAATTTAGAAAAAGAATTCTACTAGCCTTGGGCATTCGGGTATTCGGTTTGGGTCCGGGTAGGAACCGATCGGAGTCGCGTCTTTTGGGTATATAGAGTTGGTACTCATATAGGAACCGATCTGATTTTAGTTCGGTTTTGGTTCAGAACTGATTTTTTCGGGTTGGTTTGGGTTTTAAATTAAAGAACCGAAAAACTTGGGTTATGATTTGTTTCGAGTCTAAACAGAACCAAAAAACCTAAAACATACCCGAAGTTGAAAAAAAAACACACCAAAATTCACAAACATATCCAAATCATAAAGTTCAAAACCTGAAATGCAATAACATGTCCGAACAATAACATAACAGGGTTTAAAACCTCTTACAACTATTGTCCGTAACACATAAAGCAAGATTTCAGCTTAACATGCTCACCAAAAGATTCAAAAGTATTTTAAAGTTCAAACTTGAAACATAAAGTAAAGAAAAAAGAGTAGACACCAATTCACACACATGAAATTGGCATTTGATTCTTGGCTATACCATGATTCTTGTCTTGAAGACCTACAATATAATGTCATGAATAAAGAATCAAATGCCAATTTCATCACATCAATGTTCTTGCGAATATGAACTAATGTTTACCTGTTTATCTTAAATCTGATTCAAATGCGCTTTCACTTCTCACACTTTAGTTGCTTTGCATGTTGAAATCAGGATTGTTCTCTACAAAAAAGAAAAAAAATGAAGCTTGCAAATGAAAAATATAAACCAGAATTAAACCAAAGAAAACCTTTTGCTCACTCTCATAAGATCATCTTGCAACTCCACATCTGCAAGAAGTTGTTCAATGGTTGACACTCCTTTTTCGTTGATGTGAATCTCACATTTTAGCCATTGCTTGATGCACATCAACACCTCGAACATGTAGTGTGTCAAACAAGACCTATATGGGTCCAATACTCTACCGCTTGTCCTGAATGCAGAATATGAAGCTACTGAAGACACTTATAGTTCTAAAATATCCCTAGCTATTAAAGACAGAACCGGAAACCGTGGACTGTTTTTCTTCCACCATGATAAGACATCGTAGTCTTGATTAACCATAAGTTTTGGTTTCTCAATACTCTCTTTCAAGTATAACTCCAAATCATTAGTCGAGTCTTCAGTTCCTGTCTCTTGTACAAGTTGAGCATATATGTTATCCATTCTTTAATAATCAATACCACTACGCAGAGTCCTTCTCTCAAAAACTTCACCTCTATGAGACTGAAAAGATGATGCTTGTGACTGAGTCGACGATGCTCCTTGCGATCCATCACTAGCAGTACCATTCGGCCCTCCACTAAACCACTATATTCATCATACAACGACTTCAAGATGAGCTTGACTGAATCATACACATGCATTGCCTCAGCACTTTCTTTACCATAAAGCTCTTCAAAAAAAAGCTGAGAAAACTTCATCTTCTTCCTTGAATCAAAAACACTCGCTACCATCATCAGCCGGTTCATTTCAACTTTTTCTATATTTGCAAACAGATTCCAATACTTGTCTAACTTACCAAGCATAGCTGAGGCCTTAGTAGACAAATCCAAGTCAGGACCACTACCTGAGCTTAATGCTTTGATGTTTGTAGTAATGGTTACTATCATTGTATAGCTTATGGGTTGTGAAAGTTTTTGAAGCTGAAAGGACCAATTTGGAATTATAAAAAATGATAAGGAATTGAACTAACATGTCCACTGCTTCCTAATCATACGTTATTGGTGGTCCAATCCTCTTTTTCCCCCTCTATTTCTTCCAAAAAGTACTCACCATAAGGTATCTTCGACTACCATCTTCTCAAATGCCACTCTAAACTTCACTACTTGTTCTAACATGAGATAAATTCAAGTTCCATCTAGTCTTGACATCTAAGAGAAGGCTTCCTCTTGTCATCTTTCCAGTTTCCACACGAAACTCAAAAGACTTTTGTCTGTTAGTTGAAGACCTCATATAGTTAATTAATCCCATTACGAATAACAGCTATACTATTATCAACCTCTTCCAAACTTTCTCTCATAATCGAATTCAAAATATGTGTAGCACACCATAAATGAAGAAACTGACCTCGGAAGACCAATGCATCATTTCTGTGTAGACTGAATGCTTCCTTGAATCATCTCATAGCTGAACTATTAGCAGTGGCATTGTCCACAGTTATGCAGAAGACTCTCTTTATTCCCCACTCTTCTAAACACTCAAGCAATACATTAGAAATCGTCCTTCCCTTATGATCATTGACGTTCTTGAAACTAATGATTAACTTCCTTAATTGCCAAGTAGTATCGATGCAGTGAGCTGTTATAACCGTATAACTAGCTCTGGTATATAGTGCTATCCATATATCTGTCGTCAGTGACAGCCTCTGTTTGTTCTGTTTAAGAATCCTCTTCATCGCAGCTTTTTTTGCATTGTACATCGCCACAATGTCTCTTGTGGCGGTTCTCCGAGAATGAGAAGGATACAGTTGCACTTTAAATGTAAAATGTTTCCAAGCTAAGCTTTCTATAAAGGCTAATGGCAGTTCTGCTAAGACTAAAATCTCATTTGCGGCTTCCCTAACTACAGATTCGGAAACCTTACCTATTCCCAGATTTCGAGATTTCCAGCATCAGGAGTTAGCACGGTTTGATCACTTTTTTTGTTAGCAGCTTTCCATGACATGAATTCCTTGCAGCTGTCCATGTGTTTTTCTCAGATTTGATGTGCCAGACTTGGTTGGACAGCCAAACTCTTTACCACAGTAGTTACAATTACAACAAGTGTAATTGTTTTTATGTCTTTTGAAGTGCTCCCAAAACTTTGATCTCGTCTTCATCCTTAACTTAGAACCAGAAGCACTCTCTCCTTCAACTTGTTTCTCTTGCCCTTGCCTTTTGCACCAGGAGTTGGTGTTTCAACATCTTCTTCTGGTCATTTTTCTTCATCTACCTCAGATTGATTTTGTTAGAAGCCTAGTGGTGGCGATGAAGAGGGTGGTGGCGATGAAGAGGGTGGTGGCGATGGAGAGGGCTTGGACCGCTTGTTGGCTAAGTATTCCACTTCTGATATTTGGGTTTGATTTTATGAGGGATAAAGGGTTTGATTCTTCGAGGCTGCGGTCGAATAAAAAAAGATTAGGGAGTGCAATCGACAAAAGTTTTTGTTAAAAATCTAGGTATGTAATTATAATTTGTTGATTAAGTGTTTTTTCGGATATCCAAATACCCGATTAGTTTTTGTTAATATTCGGCACCGAACTATACCCACGGGTCTAAGATCTAAGATCCATCGGGTATAATGCCGCTATTCGAACCCGATCTGAACCGATTTTTTCAGGTCGGTTCTGGTTCCGGTATTCGAATCCGGAAAAAATGATCAGGCCTAAATCCTATCACATATATCCCTGAATCCTATCATAAAATGTTGTCGAAATGATATATAGGTGTATATGCAAGAAAAAAAAATGCTCCCAAGATTCATCTTCACCATAAAACAAGCAATGGGAATGAACGTTCTCACCCACATCATGTTGATTAAGAGACATTTTTACCAAAAATTGCAAAAAAAAACCTAAGGAATCTTTTTTTCATGTAAAAAAACCTAACAAAAAACTTAGTGCAAATTAAAACCTAAGTTCTTAATTTGGTGCAAATTAAACCCTAGACTCTATTTCTGTTAAATCACTAACGGAAGCCAAAACACACCGTTTTCTGTGATTTTGCATACGACACAGAGTATTGAAACCTTGTGGCGATTGATAAAAAAACGAAGATCTCTCGGCTGAGAAAAAGAGAAGAGTAAACCCTAAAACCGATTTGAGAAGAACATAAATGTGAGAATTTCAGTTGTTAAGGTCATCATCTTCGTCCTCACCTTCGTTCATGGAGTAAGAGTTCCAGTTTTTTTTTTTTGTTCGGACTGTAATGTCGTTTAGTATAATACTGAATAGCTTCCCAATTCTGCGTAATCTTAAAATCAATTCTGCAATGTTTCTGTATAATGCAGGGGGTACGATTTAAACATTCATGCAGGTGGGTATTGGACTTCAGATGGGTTGTATTTAGGTGGGGATACTCATGTTGTACGGGTGGACGCAGGCTGGGAACTGAAGAAGAAAAGTCTTAGTGACATAGTTATGTCAAAAGGGTATAATGATAATATGGATACATTTTCTTATTTTCCCTCTGGAATAGAAGGTAGTGATAAGAAGGAGTTAGAGAACGATAAAGATTTGGAGGAATGGAGAAGATGCTGGGATGGAATGGCAACAATAAACATATATGTTGTGAGAAGTGATGATCCAAATCTTCTGCGATTTAGGACTGATGATCATATAAGTTCAGATTCTAACAGTGAATCTGACTCTGAAGACGGCGAGACCGAGGAGAGTGAATCCGAGAAAGAAGTAGAGGGAGTTCGGTATTATTCAGACAATGACGAGTTAGTTGGAGAACATAGTTCATTCCATATAGAGCAGGTTTTCGAGACCAAAGAAAGTTTCAAGAGATCTATTGAGAAGTATGCAGTTAAAGGACAATTGAACATTGCATTCAAGAGGTCTGAAAGCAAGAAGGTGACAGCTATCTGTGCAGAAGAAGACTGTGATTGGAGGATATATGCTTCTATTAACAGCGGTTCTGATGGAAAATTTGTGGTTAGAACATATGATGATGAACATAAGTGTTCATGGAGCGGGAAAGTTAAGCTGTATACAGCAAGGAAAATTGCTGCTGATTTTGTGAATGAATTCAGGATAAATCCAATGTCTAGCCGTGTGATTAAAGGGAGATTGGAACAAGATCGAATAAATATGTCAAAGGACAAATGTCAAAGAGCACGTGAGATATGCCGCCAAACACTTGAAGATCAGTATACGGAGCAGTTTTCTAGAATGTGGGACTATGTCCTTGAGCTGCGAGAGTCGAATCCTGGATCCACTATTATACTTGGAACAAACGCTCAAGTGTTTGAGAAGTTTTATGCGTGTTTCTATTCTCAGAAACATGGATGGAAGAAAGCTTGTAGGCGTATTATTCATCTTGATGGAACACATCTCAAAGGCCGCATGAAAGGTCTATTATTGAGTGCAATTGGTCGAGACGCTAACGATGAGATGTATCCTATTGCTTGGGCAATCGTACCTGTGGAAAATAAAATCCACTGGAAGTGGTTTCTTGAACTTCTGCAAGATGATTTGGAGTTTAACAGCGGAAACGGTTTGACACTGGTTTCAGATCAACAAAAAAGACTGATAGGTGCCATCAAATTGGTATGTCCAGATGTTGAATATAGAATGTGTGCTTGGCATATTTTGGGCAATTTTAGGAAGAACCATGGTGAATCACCTCTACTCAAAACTGCTTTTTGGAAACTTGCCCATGCTTATAACATAAGAGAATTTGAGAGTGCACTTAATGATATGAAGATAATAAGTTCAAGTGCTCATGCCGATATCCTGAAGTATGCTAGGCATTGGTCCAGGTTATGCATCCCTTCTTAATGATATTTAATAATACTGTTTTATTTTTCTTATTGATTGGTTCTTAATTGTTTGGTGATGCAGAGCTTTTTTCAATGATCACGTAAAATCAGATGTTGTGGAAAATAACATGAGTGAAAGTTTCAACAATGTTATAACTCTTGAGCGTTATAAGCATGTGATGGTGTTGTTGGAGTTCATTCGCCGTTACGTTATGCACAACAATAAAAAAAAGTTAGCTGAGATACAAAAGTACAAAGGATACGTAACACCTCGTGTTAAGGCTGAGCTTGATCTCCGGAAGCGGAAATCATATGACTGTCAAATTTATCCATCAGGAAGAGGATGGTATGAGGTCGATCATAAAAAGAAAAAATATGTTGTGAATGTCAGGGGTGATGTTTCGTGTGCTTGCAGGTTTGACAATAATTTTATTGGGTTATAATTGTTGTTTCGTTGGTTAGATGCTTACTGTTTTGTATTTAAATTTTTTTTATGCAGACAATATGAATTGAGTGGAATACCATGTGCTCACATGATCAAAGCACTATGGGAAGATAACAAAAAAAATAAACCAGAAAATTATGTCTCAGGTTGGTTCCTCGCTTGCAGATGGGAGGAGTGCTATGAAGAGAGGTAAAGACCAGTTAATGGGATAAATATGTGGAACAGATGCAAAGATGTAAAGGTCTTGCCTCCACCCGATAAAATTCCTCCGGGAAGACAACCGAGCAATGACCGAAAACGTGCAGTATGGGAAAAGAAGCCAAAACATAAGAAAAAACCAAAAATTCAGATGGTAAGAAACCTCTTGGTCTATTTTTTATTATCATTCTTATTTTGTAGAACTCTTATTTTTCTTAGCTGATTTATCTCTTTGTAGACATGCAGCAAATGTGGTTTAACCGGCCATAACAAACAAACTTGTAAGAACAAGGTGGTGGCTTCATCATCAACTGCACCAAAACGAGGGAGAGGTCGACCTAGAAAGATTGTCCAAGGCGTAGAAGAACTCTCACAACCATCTCTTTTAAGTCAGCCAAATGTTGCAGAGGTAAGATCACCCCTTCTATTATTTTTTCTCCTTAAATATTCTGTGTTTCATTAATTTTTAACTTGTTTTGCATAGGATTCTCATGGAGTATTTCATAGCTCTTTCACGGGTGATGATTATATTTGCACCGGACGAAGAGTGGTGGATACAAATACTAATGAAGTTATACCTTGTTCATGGACCCAAAGGATGACCCAAACAGTGGAATCGAGGTTCCGGAAGCACATTTGTCCGTACCGAATGGACCTATGACGCGATCCAGAGCTAAGAAGCTGGCAGGAACGGTCCAGGCTGTACTTAATGGGATCAAGATTGGACCAGGCGACCCAGCATCACCCAAGATCGTGACCGTGCTCATGAACGCCGGCTGTAACTAATCTGGTCCGGGTGATGGTTTAATACTCTTTTTCCTTACACCCGGGTTTGACCGGGTGGGGTTTTAACGAGGTTAAGTCCATTGCCCATCTCTCGACCTAGGATTGGTTTACGGTCTGGTTCATGGGTCGGAATAGCAAGAGTCATTTTCGGCTTGGCAACTCAAGAGTCAGTCAAAGGCCAGCCGAAGAGTCAGTCTTTAGTTCATTTATTTCGGTCAAGACTTTATTAATTTTTCTGTCATTTTCGAGTTTGTCTCTTGAGCTACTTCGCCTGCTATATAAAGGCTTGTTCCCCTTCTCATTTTCAGCAATTCACTTATCAAATAAAATCTGAGTTTTCTCCTTTGTTCTTTTAGAACTTTTTCGATTCCTTAGGTGGTTAGCCTCTTGAATCTTTTCGGTTTATCAAGTTCAATCCATAGAACTTGACGCAGCCTTCACCCAGTTGTCTCGTTGGGACGTTCAAGTAGTTAAAGGGGCTTAGGGATTTTCGGGAACCTAGTTCTCACGCCTTAACATCCTTTTTCCGCGGATCCAATCAGCCAGCTTAGTCACCCCCTTGTTTCAAGCCTTTCACCGCGAGTTTGGGCCTAAGGATCTTCGGGTTCCAACCCACCCCTTAGCATCTTCTCCGTGAATCCGTTTGGAGTCAAGGATCTATCCATCCGATACCGACCAAGTGTGTGCCGTTCTTTGGGAATTCGTATCAAGTGGTATCAGAGCCACGCACTTGAAGAAAGCGGTATTATCTATCTTTTTGTCTTTTCAAATTCCGTTTTATCCTTTCTTTCTTTTGTAATTCCTGATCTATTTAAAAAAAAAAAAAAAAAAAAAAAAAAGAAGAACCAAAGTTTAAAAAAAAATAAAAAAGAGGGATCTGTGGAAATCAAAAATCTTTTCTCTCTATCTTCTCTTTTCTTCATAATCGCTTGATATTCTGAATTGGTTTAGAGTTCTACATCGAGTCTTGATTTAGTTCTCTTAGAACCGAGGAGATTCTCTTGAGTGTTTGTGAGATCATTAAGAGGGTTGAGTGAAACACCGAGTGAAACACTTAGTGAGAATTTTTTTTTACTAACTTGTCTGTTTGTTTTGCGAGGTACTATATGTCTTCTAGCGAAGATCCATCCTCTATTCGGTCAAAGGAAGTAAGAAAAGTCACTATGAACCATAGGCTGGACCAGATTATTCAGTTGCTGGATCACATGAACCAGCGTATGGAACGATTGGAAGTGGATCAGCCTAGACGGGACAGAGGAGCTGATCGCAGTGACCAGGAGGACCCAACCCGGAGGGAGAGAAATCATAACCGAAATGAGTATGTCGGAGACAACCCATTCTACGCTGACGGTCATACCTCGGGTGGTAGTCGGGTACGACCCAGACGCGGCCGAGAAGATAGACGTGGTCAAAACCCTGTACCGAACCACGGTCGTGAGAGATACAACCCAGATCCAAACCGCGGCCATAACCGGGAGGAGGTTCGACAAGACCGTAACAATCAAGGGCGGGAACAATACGAACCTGAACCAGTCCAAGCCCGAAACGACAATGACCTTGGAGGCATGAAGCTGAGGGTTCCATCTTTTTATGGTACAACCGATCCAGATGCGTTCCTTGAGTGGGAAAAGAAGATCGACATTTTGTTTGGTTGTCAGAACTTCTCAGAAAGAAAGAAGATCAACCTGGCTGCCACCGAGTTCCATGGGTACGTGGTAGACTGGTGGGACCAAGTTGTTACCAACCGAAGAAGGAACGGCGACCGACCGGTCGAAACTTGGGACGAGATGGCACGGATGATGAGACGCAGATTCGTACCGAGCCACTACCATCGGGAGTTGCACACTCGACTCAGACGTTTGACCCAGGGATCCAAGAATGTTGAGGAGTATTACCAAGAAATGGATCGGCTAATGCTGAAAGCTGATACGGTAGAACCGGAGGATGCGACCATGGCCCGGTTCTTGAGTGGCCTCAACCGTGATATACAAGACCGTATGGAGCTGCAGGACTATCGGGACATTGGAGAGAAGTACCACAAGGCGGTCTTAGTGGAACAACAGCTGAAACGCAAAGGCAAACCGACCCGCCTATGGTTCCAGTTCGCGACCTACAGATAAGCCGAGCTACCCATCTCGATCCGACGCTAAGCCCAGGACGGATTCCAAACCCAGCTCTTCTGCACCCGACTTCAAAGGAAAAGCCGAGGCTACACCGGCTAGACACCGCGACATTGAATGTTTTAAGTGTCGGGGTAAAGGTCATTATGCTAATAAATGTCCGAACCAACAAACCATGTTGCTTCTTGACTCAGGTGAAATCGTGTCCGACGGAGAGGATACTGGACCGATTTATGATGATGAGGGAGATGAGGAACGAGCAGCAGAAGGTGAATTGCTCGTTGCCCGGAGAGTCCTACTAGCTCAGGAACCCGTAAAAGAAGAAGATCAGCGCGAGAACCTATTTCATACCCGGTGCCTGGTAAAGGGTAAGGTCTGCAGCCTGATCATCGATGGAGGCAGCTGTACGAACGTGGCAAGCACTACAATGGTGGAAAAACTTGGCCTGGAGACGCACAAGCACCCGCAGCCTTATAGTCTCAGGTGGCTAAACAACCAAAGGCAGCTAAAGGTCACCAAGCAGGTCTCGGTTCCATTATCTATCGGACGGTACGAGGATGAGATCATGTGTGATGTGTTGCCGATGGAAGCCGGTCATATTCTTTTGGGCCGACCTTGGCAGTATGATCGCAAGGCCATTCACGATGGCTTCTCCAACAAGCACATGTTCGAGCACCAAGGCCGCAAGATCACCCTAGCGCCTTTGTCTCCGCAAGAAGTCTATCTAGACCAGATCAAACTCGAGCAAAGTCACAAAGGAAAAAGCATTGTGAGTGACCCTCTAAACACTTCCACTAAATCTGAGAGTCTGAGAAAAACCCCAGAAACGGCCTTAGAAAGTTTACCCGTGAGGAAAGAAACTCTTTTCGTAAGGCCAAGTGAACTTAAGCACGCCGTGCTTACGAGACAATCCTTTGTCTTGTTAATATTTAGAAATGCTTTGGTTAGTCTTACTGACCGTGAGCCGGATCTTCCGAGCAGTGTTTTGCCTCTTTTGCAGGAATACAAGGACGTCTTTCCAGAAGAAAGCCCAAGTGGATTACCTCCCATCCGCGGAATAGAACATCAGATCGATTTTGTTCCTGGTGCGTCCTTGCCAAACCGACCCGCTTATCGAACCAACCCTGTTGAAACAAAGGAACTACAGCGGCAGGTCGGAGAGCTGATGAAGAAAGGACATATACGAGAGAGTATGAGTCCTTGCGCGGTCCCGGTCTTACTAGTGCCAAAGAAGGATGGCACTTGGCGTATGTGCGTTGACTGTCGTGCAATCAACAATATTACGGTAAAATACAGACACCCCATTCCTCGTTTGGATGATATGCTTGATGAACTTCACGGATCTTGTCTTTTTTCTAAGATAGATTTGAAAAGTGGCTATCACCAAATACGGATGAAAGAGGGGGACGAATGGAAAACAGCCTTTAAGACTAAGCATGGACTGTATGAATGGTTGGTAATGCCGTTTGGCTTAACCAACGCCCCTAGCACTTTCATGAGACTTATGAACCATGTCTTGCGGTCGTTCATAGGTGTTTTTGTCGTTGTGTACTTTGATGACATCTTAGTCTACAGCAAGAATTTGGTCGAGCACTTAGAGCATTTGCGGTTAGTCTTAGAAGTGCTTAGGAAGGAACAATTATTTGGGAACTTGAAAAAGTGCACTTTTTGCGCGGATAGTGTTGTGTTCCTAGGCTTTGTTGTAGGTGCCAATGGGATCCAGGTCGACAAAGAGAAGATCAAGGCAATCAAAGACTGGCCCAGTCCCAAGACGGTTGGAGAGGTCCGAAGCTTCCACGGCCTGGCCGGTTTCTACCGACGGTTTGTAAAAGACTTCAGTACCATAGCAGCGCCTCTCACCGAAGTAATCAAAAAGGACGTTGGCTTTAAATGGGGCACGGCACAAGAAGAGGCGTTCCAACTCCTTAAAAACAGGCTAACTCATGCACCTCTCCTTTCTTTGCCTGATTTTATGAAAACCTTTGAAATTGAGTGCGATGCCTCCGGTGTAGGTATTGGTGCGGTCCTAATGCAGGAGAAACGACCTATTGCCTACTTCAGTGAGAAGCTTGGTGGCGCGACCTTGAACTATCCCACCTACGACAAGGAGCTTTATGCCTTGGTCCGTGCGCTCCAAACTTGGCAACATTACCTCTGGCCAAAGGAGTTTGTGATTCATACGGATCATCAATCTCTTAAACACCTCAAGGGCCAGCAGAAATTGAATAAGAGGCATGCCAGATGGGTGGAGTTTATTGAAACGTTTCCGTACGTGATCCAGTACAAACAGGGAAAGGAAAACGTTGTGGCCGACGCCTTGTCCCGAAGATACACCCTGATCTCGACCTTAGACGCCAAGGTCCTCGGTTTTGAAATGATTAAAGAAGCCTACACCTCCGATCCAGATTTCCAGGAAGTTTATCAATCCTGTTCTAAATTTGCCACTGGAAAATATTTTCGGAGTGATGACTTCTTGTTTTATGAAAACCGCCTTTGTATACCTAATGTTTCCCTTCGTGATCTGCTTGTTAGGGAAGCTCATGGCGGCGGTTTGATGGGACACTTTGGAGTGACCAAGACTCTTAGTGTGGTCCAGGATCATTTCTTCTGGCCGCACATGAAAAGAGATGTGGAAAGAATTTGCGGCCGATGCATCACCTGTAAGTATGCTAAATCCAAAAGCCAGTCCCCAGGTATGTACACTCCGTTACCCATTCCTAGCTCTCCTTGGACGGACATTTCTATGGATTTCGTGTTAGGATTGCCAAGAACTAGGACGGGTCGTGATTCTGTCTTTGTTGTGGTCGATAGGTTCTCAAAAATGGCGCACTTTATACCTTGTCATAAGACTGATGATGCATCTAATGTGGCTAATTTGTTCTTTAGAGAAGTGGTTAGATTGCACGGAATGCCTAGGACTATAGTTTCTGACCGCGATGTTAAATTCCTTAGTTATTTTTGGAAAACGCTTTGGTCAAAACTAGGTACTAAGTTATGCTTTTCCACCACTTGCCACCCACAGACCGACGGTCAAACCGAGGTCGTTAATAGAACCTTGTCCGCACTGCTTCGTTCTGTTATTAAAAAGAACCTTAGGACGTGGGAAGATTGTCTACCACATGTAGAGTTTGCTTATAACCATGCAGTTCATTCTACTACATTGTTTTCCCCGTTTCAAATGGTTTATGGTTTTAATCCACTTACTCCTCTTGATCTTACGCCTTTACCTTTGTCTGAGCGTGTAAGTATGGATGGAAAGAAAAAGGCCGAGCTTGTCAAGCAGATTCATGAGAAGGCCAAGCAGAACATTGAAAGTAAGACCGAGCTATACAAGAAGCACGCTAACAAGGGCCGGCGCCAAAAGGTGTTTGAACCAGGCGATCTAGTATGGGTTTATTTGAGGAAGGACAGGTTTCCGGAGGAAAGAAAGTCCAAATTATTGCCTCGAGTGGATGGTCCCTTTACGGTCCTTGAGCGGATCAATGACAACGCCTACAAGCTTGATTTACAAGGTAAGTACTTAGTCAGTACCAGCTTCAACATTTCTGACCTCATTCCCTTTGTCGCAGATGGACCAGACTTGAGGACAAGTCCTTTTCAAGAGGGGGAGGATGATACGATCATGGACCCAAAGGATGACCCAAACAGTGGAATCGAGGTTCCGGAAGCACATTTGTCCGTACCGAATGGACCTATGACGCGATCCAGAGCTAAGAAGCTGGCAGGAACGGTCCAGGCTGTACTTAATGGGATCAAGATTGGATCAGGCGACCCAGCATCACCCAAGATCGTGACCGTGCTCATGAACGCCGGCTGTAACTAATCTGGTCCGGGTGATGGTTTAATACTCTTTTTCCTTACACCCGGGTTTGTCCCAATGGGTTTACCGGGTGGGGTTTTAACGAGGTTAAGTCCATTGCCCATCTCTCGACCTAGGATTGGTTTACGGTCTGGTTCATGGGTCGGAATAGCAAGAGTCATTTTCGGCTTGGCAACTCAAGAGTCAGTCAAAGGCCAGCCGAAGAGTCAGTCTTTAGTTCATTTATTTCGGTCAAGACTTTATTAATTTTTCTGTCATTTTCGAGTTTGTCTCTTGAGCTACTTCGCCTGCTATATAAAGGCTTGTTCCCCTTCTCATTTTCAGCAATTCACTTATCAAATAAAATCTGAGTTTTCTCCTTTGTTCTTTTAGAACTTTTTCGATTCCTTAGGTGGTTAGCCTCTTGAATCTTTTCGGTTTATCAAGTTCAATCCATAGAACTTGACGCAGCCTTCACCCAGTTGTCTCGTTGGGACGTTCAAGTAGTTAAAGGGGCTTAGGGATTTTCGGGAACCTAGTTCTCACGCCTTAACATCCTTTTTCCGCGGATCCAATCAGCCAGCTTAGTCACCCCCTTGTTTCAAGCCTTTCACCGCGAGTTTGGGCCTAAGGATCTTCGGGTTCCAACCCACCCCTTAGCATCTTCTCCGTGAATCCGTTTGGAGTCAAGGATCTATCCATCCGATACCGACCAAGTGTGTGCCGTTCTTTGGGAATTCGTATCACCGGCCATAACAAACAAACTTGTAAGAACAAGGTGGTGGCTTCATCATCAACTGCACCAAAACGAGGGAGAGGTCGACCTAGAAAGATCGTCCAAGGCGTAGAAGAACTCTCACAACCATCTCTTTTAAGTCAGCCAAATGTTGCAGAGGTAAGATCACCCCTTCTATTATTTTTTCTCCTTAAATATTCTGTGTTTCATTAATTTTTAACTTGTTTTGTATAGGATTCTCATGGAGTATTTCATAGCTCTTTCACGGGTGATGATTATATTTGCACCGGACGAAGAGTGGTGGATACAAATACTAATGAAGTTATACCTTCAACAATGTTTCGTCAACATGAACGAAACAAAATGGAAGCTAGGGCGAAGGCAACATAAATAATATTTAGACAAAATGATCTTTTTGTAAAAACAAGATGAGGAGCTTTATTTTGTTTCTAGCTTTATGGGTTTTGAGTAATGTGAGCATTGATGGTATTCTTTTTTACTCTGTTTTAATGATCATTATACTTTTCTCCAGTTTTTATAAATTCAGTTATGATCACAAGCTTAAAAAGTTTAATCTTCTCTCCTTCGATTTTTCTTTGGCAACAAGTTTCCAGACTAAAACGATGCCGTATGTAAAATTACAGAAAACGGTGTGTTTTGGCTTTCGTTAGTGATTTAACAAAAATAGAGTCTAGGGTTTAATTTGCACCAAATTAAGAACTTAGGTTTTAATTTTCACCAGGTTTTTTGTTAGGTTTTTTAACATGAAAAAAAGATTCCTTGGGGTTTTTTTGCAATTTTCCCCACACTTATCAGAAGCACCCATGAATTTATTTAAAAGAGCACGATGCATCACATGAGACGACCGCAAATGGTCCACTTTGCGCCCACAGAGTTCGAGAAACTCTCAAGAGACATGTACATGTGTCACTCATAAGATCAATGATTTATCTTAGGTTGACTCAAACATCAAACCAAATGAGTAGTTTTTTCATCTCACTTCAAACCTTAAAACTATGTCCTATGTAGTTAGTAGATTTTAATAATTTACGCTAAATCCAAGAAACTCGTGATAAAAAAAAGAACCGATAATTCTATGATAAAATCACTAAATTAAAACGCTAAATAAAAGCTTGGTAGTTAATAATGGCTACTTTGAATTTTTTTTTAAAAAGTGTAAGCTAAATATTCTGATTTAATAAAATTAAAACCCTAAATAAAATCATGATAGGGTTATAGGCTTGCATATACAAACAAAAATAAACAAATATAAGTTATTGTCTGAAAAGAGAAAATCACAGAGCAGAGAGTTCGACTTCTTGAGTGGAAGGTCGATACGCTACGAACTTGCTATCAGTTGAAAAAGAGCCTGGATTGAAACATGTTGTTCCCCCAAATTTGCAAACCTTTTGCTCACTCTTGTCACCTAATACTATCTGTTTTACAACAACAACAACAATGATCCTTTGTTTCAAAGAGGGTTTCGTGCTTCCAAACTAAGCAGAGTTCAATTTAGGATAAGAAGATATAAGGATTATACCGTATGAGGAGTTGGGTATAGTCGAAGAGAGTGATCATAGTTCCAGATAATGGGTTGCACCATGAGAGGTAGAGGGCATAGATGGCTCTGATGAGTTATTGTGTAGACAAGCTAAACAAACAAAAATTTTAGAAGTTTCAGATTATCTGTCATTACCCCGAAAACACTTATAAAATTCAAAGTTGGAAGAGAGATGTGTTTACGTGTTGAAAGGGGTCGTCAGTTTCTTCTGAGCAAGGGGTTATTAAGCATGAACGGCGCATCTGGTATAGAAGGTCTTTTCGGAAGAAGACAATCTCTTGGTTGTAGAACTTTACTCTGCATTTTAAAAAGAAAGATCATTACGGCAGCTTTTGTGTGTTTGATCCATATCAATACATCAAATGCTCTCATCATTCAGACCATAGTTCATACCTGCAAGGATTGCTTGAAAATATCGCATTGGGAATAACGTCTTGAATCTCTTTGGTTAGATATTTTGGTAAACCGCATCTTGGCAAGACTGTAGAGGGACCTGTTAGATAATTTTACTTTCTATTAGTCATGTCTTCTCATGGACCCTAGTTGTATTTAGATAGTGGTGGAGATGGTACCTGCGTCATCAGGACCTGGAATGAATAAAAACCGACTATTCTCTTTTAGCCGTGGATGGTCTCCAATCATTCTCCCAAGCTTACCAAACTGTTGCCTGAAATGGATAAATATCATCACGAATATACAAGAACAGTTTTTCCATAACAGTTGAGAAAAATCTAACTATAATGATCTCTTACCTAAGGCTGGAATAAGAACCAAACGATAAGTTGCATGGGCGAGAACAAAAGTTTCCCATGAAAACAAACAAAGAAGGCACTATCTCCACACTTTCAAAACCATCAAGAACCTTTTCCAGCTTCTCGAGAACCTTCTCTACGGACAACACATTTTGGCGATCAAGCAATCTCTTTAAGCACAAAATATTGATGCTAAAATACAATAGTTGGTGCTCCAACTGACCTCTTCGTCATCCAGCCATATGTCAGACAATATGACAAATGTGTCATTAACTGCTTGTTTTTCTAGGTCTGCAAGTCTAATCTGTGATAAGAGGCAAAAAGAACATGTTATTTATGCTGTTATTGCTGTGACTTACCTATGTAACACATCGGACTACAAATTTTACAACTTTCTCAATCCAGAAGTAGAAAACTACGACGACTCAAGGATTACCGTCTCTTCTTTAGTTAGCATGCCACCTCCAAAAAAGTCGTATCCAGAATGTGTCTTTAGTGTTTTATCCCTGTCTTCTAAAGGAGGAAATCCGCATGTAATCACCTTTACCGAAACATGAGAAAAAGCTTTTAGAATTAGAAGAGGACGAGTTAGTCAAAACGATGTATTTTGAACTTTTCATTTAAAACTGAGCTTTGATGCTTTCATTCCGCTGATCGTAACATAAATTTTCATCTTGCATGGAGTCTATAAGTGTTTTTGGAGACTTGTGTTTGTATTGTTGGTCACAGAGGACACCATACACCCGACTTAGTTCTATATTCCCACCTATAACTAACACTTTGATCTCAAGATGAGCAATAAATTAAAATCATAGAACCTAAGCATATTATGCATATATGATATATCTCCCTGGTCTAACAGTAGTCAAAAGTACGTAACTAACTCAGAATGGGGCAGAGGAAGGCGCAGCAGCAAATTAGATGTGCTACCTTGCAGCTCTAGTTTACCTGAAAAATACCGCTCTGCATTTCACCTTCTGCCAAAATTATAGTATTCTCTGTGAAAAATCCTGTGGTTATCTTGTACTGATTGTCAAAGAAAAGTACTCATCGCACAAATAACTCAAATTGCAATCCTTTGATATGCCTTTATCATGTATGAAACTGTAAATATTCTGCGGAGATGCAGTGTCCACGTTTTGCAGATTTTCGATACTACCAACTTAGAAAAAGGATATTGCTTTGGACAAATCAATCTCTACAGAAGCTGAAAGGTCTTCCAGGTAGAAATGTCCATCTTCCAGCTGTGATATCACGCCCATCACCCATTTCCTCCCAATTTGAACTATTAGAGACTGGATTGAAGATATCTACTAGCAAGAACATGCAACAAAAATACTCCTTAGTTTCAGCTTCAACACAAGAACACAACGGAAAACAGGAACATTGAAAACTAAGACCAACCTCATAGTTCTCAAATTGCGACATCTCAGCATCAAATGCTGGCCTAGAAAAATGCTCTGCGCGAGAAACTCTCTGCGACAGCAACATGAATCGTTCCCTGTATACCGATGTTTTCGAAGAAGCCTCACCGTGAATAGGCAGAGTACTCGTATGCCTAGAATCAACATAATACAATTCCAATCAGTGACACAGTCTCAATAACACACTTTCACAATGAAAAATTCTACTAAGTAGAAGGTCTTACTCGATGAACTGCCTCTTAACAGCATCGTATCGGTACTTAGGCACCATAAACGCGTCGATGACAGCCAAGGAAGAACCATTAGAGGTAGATTCCTCCGCAGCGTCATGAGCTCCCAACAAGAGATTAATCACTCTTTGAATTGATTCCGCATCGACTATGGAAGAATTAACTGCAACATTTTTCACACAAAGAATCGATTTAAGCAGTCGAATACGAAGGAAGCAAAATACGCATAAGAGGCAAATCAGTGAGTGTCGTACGATTTTCCTGCTGGAGGTGATCGAGAAGAAGATCGATAGCTTCTCCTTCATCGTCGTCGGGGAATTGGTCGGCGAAGGCTAGAATACTGTCTAGGGCATCCATCTTGAGATTGTACCCTCTGATTTTGAATTTCTTCTGTATCTTCTTCCTCATACTCATTTCTAACTTACTACGAATCCAACACACACTCTCTCTCTCTCTCTCTCTGAATCTGTGAAACCTTTTCGAAAGTCCTCAAATCGGAGGGAAAACGAAAATATATCGACGGCGTTGGTAGAGGCAAAGTGAACACAGAGGTTATCGAAGACGGCGAATGGGCTTTTGGTATGGGTCAGAGTTTTAGATCACTTATGGCCTGTTTAATAAATATAACTTTACTCTCCAATAGAAACATAAATTCAAATTCATCACTCTACAACATTGGATCAGGATTTTTTTTTTGGGTACAACATTATTGTATGATTTTCTTTTTAAAATATCATGTTATTTTAAAAAGTTGTAATCGTTGAAATCTTTTGCTTTCGGTGTTTTAGGCAGTCGTCTAGGTGTTGCCTAGCCATTGTGCGAAAGAATTCTGTTTAGCTTTGTCTTTAGGTGCTGGTTGTAGGTAGAGCATGTTATTTAGTGCGCTCGACGGCGTTTAATTGAGTTTGGTGGTTTATGTGGATTATTGTCATTAATAAACAAAAATGATTACCGCATGTTAAAAGCTAAACCATCTGTAATATAAAACCTCTTAAGATGTTCAGAACATTCCCACAAGGATCCTTATTACGATCTAGAATCGGAGAAGAAGAAGTTGAGAGAGATAAAGTTTGTTGAAGAATATTTTCTCTTATTCCTCAGAAATGTGACCGTTTACAATATATATACAGTTGTAATGTGTAAACCAGTCTAAACCAACATCTAATCTTAATTTACAGTTGAACCAGCAAAAGGAAACTGATACAATCTTAACCGGACATAAACCACCTATAACTATATCCTCCAATAGTCCCCTTCAAGATCAGCTTTGAAAGATATTCTGAAGACTCATCTTGGATTTAAGATGTTCAAATTGGTGAGGAAATATAATAGTGGTTTAGTCATAATGTCAGCCACCTGGTCTTCTGTCGGAACATGTAATGATCTGATGATCCCTTTATCCAATTTCTCCCGAACAGAATGACAATCTGTCTCTATATGTTTAGTACGCTCATGGAAGACAGGATTAGTTGCAATACTAATGGCAGCTGTGCTATCAGAAAAGAGGATATGTGTTGAAGAAGAAGTTACCCTCAAATCTTTAAGCAACTTGATGAGCCAAACCATTTCGCGTGCAGCAAGAGAAAAGGCACACGGTATTCAGCTTCTGCAGTAGAACATGATATGATGTCTTGTTTCTCCGACTTCCAGGAGATAAGTGAAGAACCAATGAACATACACATACCAGTTGTAGAGCGTCGGCTATCTGGACAAGCAGCCCAGTCTGAGTCCGCAAATCCTTTTAGTGTGATATCAGAATCTGCAGAGTAAAACAGTCCTTGGCCAATAGTTCCCTTAATGTACTGCAGAACCTTGTAAACTGCCTTGAGATGAGTCGATCGTGGAGCTGAAGAGTACTGACAAAGCTTGTTAACCGCAAAGGTTATATCAGGCCGAGTGATCGTCAAATACATCAACTTTCCAACAAGACTTCGATACATCTCTCTATCATCCAACAAATCACCATCGGTCTTAGACATCTTCAAGTTAGGTACCATGGGAGTGGAAGAAGGTTTACAGCCTAACATCCCAGCTGAGTTCAATATCTCCAAGGCATACTTTCGTTGACATAAAGAAATGCCTGTAGAACTACGAGCAACTTCCAAACCCAAAAAATACTTAAGAGTGCCAAGATCTCGTAATTTGAAGTAACCTTTCAACTCAAGTGTCAACTGTGTAGCAAGGTCAGGACTAGTGCTGGCAATGATGATATCATCGACATATACCAAAACAGCAATGAAGTTTGTATCATCACAGCCTTTAGTAAACAATGTATGATCCCCATCACCTTTGACAAAGTTCAGATTTAGAAGAGCTTCAGAAAACTTCTTGTACCACTGACGAGAGGCTTGTTTAAGGCCATAGATGGACTTCTTTAACCTCAACACAGCATTCTTTGGTAAAGAGCCCCCCTTTCTCGCAGCATAACCTTCAGGTAATCTCATGAATACCTCTTCTTCTAAATCTCCGTTTAGAAAAGCATTAGAAACATCAAGTTGAGATAGATGCCACTGCTTGGATGCTGAAATCTTCAATAAGAGTTTCACAGTGGTCAACTTCGCAACAGGTGAGAATGTTTCCTTGTAATCCAAACCCTCCTTTTGGGTATACCCTTTAGCAACTAATCGAGCCTTGTATCGCTCAAGACTTCCATCTGCCAAAAATTTTAGAGTAAAAACCCATTTACAGCCTACCGGTTTCTTCCCTGGAGGAAATGTTGTAATATCCCATGTATTAGTGGATTCCATTGCAGTGAACTCTTTATCAACCGCTTCACACCATTATTTAGACTTCTTTGCCTCAGAGTATGATTGAGGGATTGGAATTTTGGTGATATTGTTAATATAAGAGTTGTATGGAGAAGATAAGTGGGAATATGAGATAAAGGATGACATAGGATAAGTACTATTCGACTGTAAGGAATAACAGTGATAGTCTTTTAAGTGGGCAGGTATTTTTCTTTGACGGGAAGATGAATTTGGTGATAAGGAAGGAGTAGAAATTTCTGGTATAATCGGAGAGGAGTTTGAGGAAGATGGAGTGTTACCTGAAGACAAAGAAGATGGTGTGAAGAAATCCGAATCAGCTGTGGTGATCGGATCTTTAACCAAAGGGAATATGTCTTCATGAAATGTAACATTCCGTGAGATGAATATCTGATTGCTTTCTAGATCCATTAGCTTATATCCTTTGTATCTTGAAGGATAACCCAAGAATAAGCATGCCCTTGACCTTGGCTGAAATTTGTGTCTCTGCTTTGGTGAAGTGGAATCATAGCATAAGCAGCCAAAAGTACGGATCTGATCATAAACAGGAGCATGTCCAGTAAGAATCTCATGAGGAGTCTTGTTTTGAAGCAGAATAGAAGGTGTTCTGTTTATAAGAAACACGGCTGTCAAAATACAATCTCCCCAGAATTGTAGAGAAACCCCTGACTGAAACAACAATGCTCGAGCTACGTTCAGAATGGTTTGGTGCTTTCGTTCAACTACAGAATTCTGCTCCGGAGTCTCAGGACAAGAATGGAAAGATTTGATACCCTTTTTTTGATACAAATCTGTGAATTTTAATTCCGGTGCATTGTCTGATCTCACAGCTTTAACTTTGGCAAAGTATTGATTCTCAACATGTTTGATGAAATCTGGGAATACTGTAAGAACCTCTGACTTCGTCTTAAGCAAATATACCCAAGTAGCACGTGAGTGATCATCCACTATAGTAAAAAAATATCGATATCCATCAATAGTTTCAACTGAAAATGGTCCCCAAATGTCAATGTGTAACAACTCGAAGTTTTCATTACAACGATTATTTGGAGAAGGGAAAGAGAGTTTCTTCTGTTTGGCAAGATGACAAACATGACAGAAAGCTGAATTCTTATTCTTGTGCTTGGTAGTTCCCAAAGCATCTGAGATAACATCCAACCTTGAGAAAGATGGATGACCGAGCCTCTTGTGCCAAACTCCAACATCCACAACTGCATTCACTGAGACAGATTCGAACATTGTGTCAAGCACATAGAGGTTTGCTATTCGCTTACCCTGTCTAATCGTCAACTCCCTGGTATGATCCTGAATTTCACAAGACGTTTTGTCAAACACTACTCTTGAACCAACATCTGTAGTCAGGGAACTAATGCTGAGAAGATTCAGTCAAAATTCAGGGATAAACAACACATTTCTCAAAAGAAGATGTTTGTTTATTTGAACTGAACCAATTCCACTGATCTTAACAGTTGATCCTGTTGGCAAGTTTACAAAGCTAACAACAGAGGTGTCAAGTGAAATGAAGTGTTTTCTATCATATGACACATGATGTGTGGCTCCAGAGTCAATCACCCAAGAACCATGGCTAATGGTTTGGTGAGAGACTGTTAGAATGCCGACAAAACGAAATGTAGAGGAAGAGAATTGAATACCCGAGGGAGCTGTGTTTGATTGTTGGGACACATTTGCAGAGGAACTGTTCACTTGATGAGGTTGTAGCTGAGAGCTGAACAAAGCAATGAACTGTTGAATCTGGTCTGCACTGAGATTACCAATGAGCCCTTCCAAATTTGGTTTAGTAGCTTCAGTAGAAGACATCGTCACCTGAGCAGTAACAGGTTGTTGTTTCTGTGCCTGAACAGATGATTTTCCCTTCGGAGTGTAACCAGAAGGAAATCTATGCTTCTTGTAAACCCACTTTGTTGCAAAAAGAACATATGGGACGACCTTTGTTAGGACCAGTCTGAACATAACAAATCATTTCAGAGTGATCATTCTCAGATACCTGAAATGCAGCAGGAGGAACAACCGTAGTGAAACTTCTTTGACTATCATCTTGGTCAAGAATGTTGTACACTTCAGCGAGACTCGGAAGAACTTTCTTCATGATTATCTGTCTTCGAATGATTGCATATGATTCATTCAACCCAGCCATAAACTTGACTATCTTGGCTCTCTCTGCCTTCTGTTGCAGACGAGCACCTTTACCACAAGTACAAGGTTCATCGGCTTCCTCAGTACTTTCTAAATTACTCCACAAAGTCTTAAGAGTAGTGTAGTAATCAGAGAGAGACATGAATCCTTGGCGAAGATCTTGAATCTCCTGAGTGAGATTGAAAGTCCGAGGGAGGTTAGTCATGTGAAATCGACTATGCAGATCACGCCATATATCTGTAGCATCATTGAGCCTGAGAACACTACGATAAATCTGAGGCGAGACAGAATTCAACAACCAGGATTTTACCATACTGTTGCATCGAGACCAGATACGAAATCGAGGATCGGATTCTAAAGGACGCGGTAAAGTTCCATCAACAAATCCAATCTTATTCTTCGCATCAAGAGCAATACACATAGCAGCATTCCAATCATCATAGTTAGATCCATCAAGACGAAGAGATATGATCTGCAAACCTGGATGATCTGCGCTATGCATATAGAACGGAGATTGACTCGGATCTTGTGAATCAGACATTGCAGTGACTTGCGAAGCTCCGGAAACTTCAGTTTGAGCTACCAGAGGTTGAATCGG